TGAAGCAATTCTTGCTCACGCTGAATCTGATCGAAAGAGAGATTCTTCATGCCTTCCATCAGAACATCATCAAAATAAGAAGCCCCTTGGAGTTTCCTTTTGCGACTGCTATTATTCAATTGACTGGCCATGTGGCCTCCTCCACATGAGGATGAATCGAATCCACAAAGGCATGATTTGTTTGATATCGCAACTGGTGTGCTCATGATCTATATATTCCTCGTTGTGAAACTAGTGTTCCAACACAGAGCATGTCGTAGCTATATTGTGCGATGCGGGATGCCAAATTTTAACAATACTTAATACATAGTATTTGAGTATTCAAATGATATTGAGACATCATTATCTTTGGGACGGAAGGATCAAGAACTCGACATATAGTCAAAACATGACGCCAACAGGCAAGATGAATAGAGTAGGTCATTTATAATATCAGCTGGTCAATGGATTCAGTTCAGTCGTTTACACTTGTTGACTTTGACCCTGCCTTTTAGTACAGACTCTTTCCGAGGATTCATGAGTCTCATGCTATCGCTGGTGTAACATGTACCAGTACGTCCGTCAGAGTCACCTATTTTCTCATAATATTCCTCTCATCGCAGTCTTCGAACATTGCGAAATTGTTTGGACACCTTCTCATGGGCCGCTTCATCCGGTACCACCTCCCATTTGCCACCATCCATAGTATTGCGCTTCAGAAAACGACCACCTTTCTCGTGTATGGTTTCCACCAATTGGGACACTAAATTCTTTTTCTCTCCACGATCGGTGCGGTTGTACTCGTCTGATAACGCAAAAATGAGCTCTCGTAGTCGTTGGTTCCCTGGATTATCGAAACTTGGCCCAAACAAGACATCGTTTGGCCCAATTTGTTCTACAATTACCGCAGGTGACGAAGATGGTACCGCCGCATTGGAAGCACTGCTCGGTCGAGACCGTCGCCGACGCAAATTGCGGAAGAGCTGTGTAACCTTGGCCCGTTGTTCATCTTGCGAAAGTTCCACCCAAATGATGTTCCCATTATCCATTGACGACATTGAGTCTGCTTTTGAACCAGCGAGAGGTTCTGGCTTCAGAAATCTACCGCCATGCCTGTGGACTTCATCGATGATTCCAGACACAATTGTCCGTCGATTGGAAATACTTCCATTGTCATACGCTGCGAGATAAATGATCGCCAAGGAATGTAGCCGTTCGTTACCCACACCTTTGGCTTTTTGACCCAATGACAAGACATTGTTTTCATTGGCACTGTTCGGTCCTGATGTGGTGGTATGACAGGGTGTCTTCTGTTGGTGCGTTGTAGAGGCATTCGTAGAAGAAATTGTCACAGGAGCTTGTTGCCGTCGCTCTTCCTCTCGAAGCATTCGTCTCTGAAACCAAGCATGATGATGGCTGAAATCCATCTCACTTTCTGGTCCCTGCAAAGGAAGCGCTCCTCTAATTATACCAAAGCTTGCGAGTATATATTGACATTCAGTATGAGATCCCAAGTGTACACGCGATTTGACGCGGTCACGATGTGGCATTAGTGCAATGCAGGCCCTGGTTACCATGCAATCTACTGGATTGCTGTAACATAGGTGAATGCCGTCTATTTTCATAGGAACACCGTTGTGGAACAAGTTAGATGTCTCTAGGAACCCCGCCCCGCTCGAATGATCTTGATACTGTTCTACAGAATAACTCACGAAGACAGTTCCTTTGCTAATGTCCACCATTGTGTCCACACTGTTTGCTGACATGTAAAATCTGGCTCGCAGCTCTGTGCGGACAGTTGTCTTCGATCGAACGCCGGGGAACTCCAAATGGATCATTCGTCCAGATCGATCACGAAACGGGCAGAACTGGAAGAATCCTTCCAACAAACAGCTCAAATCATCTTGGTCTAGGTCTTGTGCGGTGATGTCCCGAACCAAGCTGTCTTCGCCAAAGAGGTCCTGTTTGTATTTGAAAAAGTTGATCAATTTCTCAGCTGAAGCTTTTGGTTCAAAATGACACGCCCGTAAGAAGGCCAGCTGAAGTTCCCGATTAGAAGCATAGGATTGGTCTTGCTTTTCTGCTAATTCGTACGCGGTTCCTTTCTTCATACGATTAAGATGTGACTTTAAGTCAAGAAGCAAGTTGTTGATCGTGCTTTCATTGAGGTCAACTTCATTCGCAACTCCATGAAGCAATTCTTGCTCACGCTGAATCTGATCGAAAGAGAGATGTTTCATGCCTTCCATTAGCATTTCTTCATAATTGGAAACCCCTGTGAGTGTCCTTTTGCGACTGATATTCAATTGACTGGCCATGCGGCCTCCTCCGCCTGAAGATGAATCGTATCCACAACGGCACGATTTGTTTGATGTTGCAACTGGTGTGCTCATGCTCGTGTTCTATTCCTTATTCTGCTTTTGGCATCATCAATTTCTAGGTATCAAGAACACTATACTACTACATCAATGCGGCATATTCAATACCATCGACGTAAACGTACGTGTACAGACGCGGTATATCATCAAATCCATTTTATGGATATTATATTAGTTTAGTTATATATACTGGTGAAAGGATTTATTTCAGTACAGTAGTCTACAATTGATTTCCACCGTTTCAGTGGCTTAATTTCTAGTAAGGATTCATGGCACGAGCGCATTTCATGGTATCTGTCTCGCTGGTGTACCGTCGTACAAGTACGTCCACCAGGAGGATAACATATTTTCTCGTCATACCCCTTGGCGCACTCTTCGAATATTACGAAATTGCTTGGAAACCCTCTCACGGGCCACTTCATCGGATACCACCTCCCATCTTCCATCATACTGTGTGGAGGGCTTCAGGAAGCGACCTCCACTCGTTTGTATGCGTTCCACCAATTGCGACACTGTATTCTTTTTCTCTCAACGATCGGTGCGGTTGTACTCGTCTGATAACCTGATAACAAGCTCTCGTAGTTGTCGATTGCCTGGATGACTGAGCCGTGGCCCAAACAAGACATTGTTTGGACCGACCTGTTCTACGACTATAGCCGGCGTTGGTGATGATGTCAAGGATGGAAGCCCCACAATGGAAGCGCTGTTTGCGCTCGGTCGAGACCGCCGACGACGCAAATTGCGGAAGAGCTGTGTGACCTTAACACGCTGTTCGTCCGGCGATAGTTCCATCCAAATGATCTTCCCTTCATCCTCTGATGGCACCAAACCTGTTTCTGAAGCAGCTCGAGGGTCTGGCTTCAGAAATCTACCGCCATGCCTGTGGACTTCATCAATGATCCCACCTACAATGGTGCGACGACTGGAAATACTTCCATTGTCATACGCTGCGAGATAAATGAGCGCCAAGGAATGCAGCCGTTCGTTTCCTACCCCTTTGACTCTTTTCGCCAAGCACAAGACATCGTTTTCATTGGCATTGTCCGGGCCTGATGCGGTGTCATGACAGGATTCGTTCCGTTGGTGCGTTGTAGCGGTATTAATAAAAGGAATGGGAACAGGAGCTTTTAGCCGTTGCTCTTCCTCTCGAAGCATCCGTCTCTGAAACCAAGCATTCTGATAGCTCAAATCCATCTCACTTTCCTTTCCCTTCAGAGGAAGCGAGCCTCTAGTTATACCATAGCTTGCGAGTAGATATTGGCATTCTGTATGCGATCCCAAGTGTACACGCAATTTAACACGTTCTTGAGATGGCAGCATCGTAATGGATGCCCTGGTTACCATGCATTATATTGGATTGCTGTGACATAGATGAAGGCCGTCAAGTCTGAAAGGGACAGCTTCCATAAACAACTTTCCTCCTTCCAGCATACCCCAACCGTTTAAATGATCGTGATACTGTTCAACAAGATAGCCCACGAGGACGCTTCCTTTGCTAATGTCTATCATTGTTTCGACACTGTTCGCTAACATGTAGAATCTGGCTCGCAACACTGACCGGATAGTTGTCTTCGTTCGAAGGCCGAGGAACTCCGAAAAGATCACTTGTCCTGATCGATCACGAAACGGCGAGAACTGAATATTGCCATCCAATAAGCAGCTCAAATCATCTTGGTTCAAATCTTGCACAGTGATGTCCCAAACCAAGCTGTCTTCACCAAAGAGGTCTTGTTTGTATTTGAAAAAGGTAATCAGTTTCGCAGCTGATGCTTTTGGTTCAAAATGACTTGATCGTAAGAAAGCCAACTGAAATTCCCGATTGGAAACATACGACGGGTCTTGCCTCTCCGCTAATTCGTACGCGGTTCCTTTCTTCATACGGTGAAGATGCGACTCCAGCTCAAGGAGCAGGTCGTCAATCGTATTGTCATCCAGGTCAACGTCATCCGCAACTCCATGAAGCAATTCTTGCTCACGCTGAATCTGATCGAAAGAGAGATTCTTCATGCCTTCCATCAGAACATCATCAAAATAAGAAGCCCCTTGGAGTTTCCTTTTGCGACTGCTATTATTCAATTGACTGGTCATGTGGCCTCCTCCACATGAGGATGACTCGCATCCACAAAGGCACGGTTTGTTTGATATCGCAACTGGTGTGCTCATGATCTATATATTCCTCGTTGTGAAACTAGTGTTCCAACACAGAGCATGTCGTAGCTATATTGTGCGATGCGGGATGCCAAATTTTAACAATACTTTTAACGCATACAGGAAATAGATGCTGCAGCGACTCGCATGGTGACTTTCAAGATTCTCCGAATTTCTGCGTGCGCAGTATTTTATTTTTCCGAATAGAAACGGGGAGGGAGTATTTGAAAACGAAGTATTTTTCGTACTATGGCCAAGACAATCCGTGATCCAATGGTATTCATTCACGGATGATGTATTTGAAAATCAAATACCTCCTCTAAAGTAACCCGGAACCTAAGGTATATCAGCCAATCAAAACTAAGGTGTCGCTTACAAACTAAGCAAATGTGGAGGGAAAACCTTAAGCCAATGTAGGTAGTTTAGGATTCACCCGAACCGTCTGGCCTTTCCTAGTCAATCTCCATTTCCCGCCGAGATTCAAAACCTCACGCTGGCATACCCGCTTGCCGGCCTTCTATCCAATAGATTTGAATTCATCAATCATTCATTCACTCACGGTTTCATCAAAATTGCAATGTAAATGAATCAACAAAATTCGCTACGTTACGGGTATTCCTTTTCTACAAGCACAACCTCTTCTACTTTGAGCTGTCTTGATGTGTCATTGCCACCAACGAAAGCACTCCTATAATAGAAAGAGACGCAATACATGTCTCTTTCAACAGTCTTGGACAAATGCAACGTGGCTCCGTCTCATCAAAGATCACAAGCAGACACCAAAGATCATAAGCAGACACCATCTCGTGAATCCTACATTTCAATAGATTGGCATTTCAATAAGACTATAGACATACAATTATTCTGATTATTCTAATATTCTTATGACAGATGGATTTGACAGGGGTAGAGGAGAACCTGGTTACCAGGTACTGCTAGTCTCAACCGTTCGTCGTCACAAATCGTAGCCAAGAAGAAGCAATTCTTCCAAGCGCCAAGTTTGTTGGGATATGACGAAATATGAGTTTTTACGTTCCAAAAGAAACTATTCAAGTACAAGGTTTTCGACACGTGCGATCGGACTTTGATCGTGCGCGATGTCGGGATTCGACGCAAGTATGCCGGACGCAAGTCTGTC